TTTTTTGAACCACCTTTCTAATCCAGTTATTCACAGCTGTTCATTGGGGAAGGACATCCAGGGACATCCAGTCCATTTTTAGAACATGAAATGGGGAATTTTCTTTGGTTGGCTCTGTTGTTTGCCAGCTGGCCGGATTTGAAATGTCAGTAAACCTAGTGTTAGTTTTGGACAGGGGAGTGTGGGTCCACATGAAGGGTGGAGGTTAACAGCTGGCAAGAGGGCATGTGCTGTGCGAGGAAGAGATGAAGAGGAGATGAAGCTGAATTCTGGAGAAGTGGTGCTGGCATGCATGTTGGCACAAGACAGACAGTGAAGGGATGGCTTTTTTTTTAACATGTAGATTTGTTCAGATATAGAGTGAGCAGGCTTGAAAGCTGAGAGTTTCTCTAATAGGCCCGAGATGGGTCATCTGCATAGAGGGCACATAACTGCCTGCAAAGGATGGACCTGGTGGGTGTTTGATGGTCGCCATAATTACCACAAAAAATATTTCTGGGGATTCATATGCAGTGAGGAATTTGTAAGTTAAGCTGTGCCCTGATTTGAAATGTCATTAAGCCTTTCTGCCAGTCCCATCATCCTTATAGCTCTTCAGGATTCATTAGAGAGATTGGCATGACTGTTGCTGAGCTCTTTTCCTGGTCACTGTTTAGGTGTCAATAAATTCACCATGTGGTGAGCTCTGGGCACTGGTATCTGGGCATCCAGTTCCTACTGAGGAGTGAAACCTAAAGAACCACACTCAAATGTTCAATAGCATTTAGGCTTAGAAAAGTATGTTAGTTTTTAATAGTACCTTTTTAGGAAGAACAAGCACTCTTAATTTACGTAATTGCTCATGTCTAGATATAATTTTGAGCTGTTTCAGGGCAGGAACAGTCTGAGTTCTGCCAATCCCCAAACAGGCCAAAAATTTATGAGGTTATAAATGAATCTTAAAATGTTTTATTGTGTTTTCTTTTTAACTCCTAGCAAGGCAGCCCCCATCCTAACTCAAAAGCAGTCAGGTCCTTGTTTTTGTATTCTCTGTTCATATGAGAACAAGAGGTCACTGGATGACATTACTGCTTTGTAAATTTAGAACAAATAAAAGGAAATGCTACTTCACCTAGTGCGTCGTCATCCTGTGGAATACGCTGTTCCAGGATGTTAGTTAAAAGCTGTAGCCGGAACGTGAAAAAATAGCTGGACCGTGCTTGTTTCTAGCCACGTTTGCCAACAGGGACAACCAAGCCTTGTGTTCCAGAGCATCAGTTCATCATGGCTGTAGCTGAGAGCAAACACCCCAGGCTCCCTGGCTGGGAAAGGACAGCTTTTCAGGGGAAGACTGCTGTGGCTTCTTTTGGAGATGACAAGATGGATTTCTTTTCTTTGTTTGGATTTGGTGTGAGATGTTAAGATTGATCATCAGTCTCATCTAGACAGTGCAGTGAATGCAATAGCCTTTCTTCCTCTGTTAGCATCCTTCAAGAGGTGGGTGTCTGGAAATTACTTGCTCAAGTAGAAGGAGTTAAAGTGGTAGAATCAGTGAGTGAGAGTATTTTTCTGTTAATCTCATTTCTGCCCTTACTGAGGACCAGTGTAGTGGCATGCGTGTTGCACATAGCCTGCACAGCAAGAGACCAGTGGCTACCTGCAGTGCAGGGAAAGCAGGAGTGTCTTGTGCTCACAAGGTACCCAGTGTCGGCTGTTGTGTGTGTGAAGCTGTATGAAAGGTGAGGACTGTTAAGCCACTCTGCAAAGGAAGTGTCCCTATTAACATGTTTCTGGATTCCTAATTATCCTCATTAAAATGTTTAACTGTAACACCACTACACGGTAATCAGTAGAACAGGTTTGTATGGTTGCTTAATTTCCCCAAAGATTTGTTATACTAGTTACATTAAAATCTTATCTGTCCTTCACTGTGAAGCCTGAATTGTTCCAATTAGTTCTCCTTAGGAGTGAGGTTTGAGATTGTATTCTTTTATTTCCCCTCTCTGATGATACCACTAAATCCCAATGTAAATGTTGCTTTAGAATTGACTAATGAGGAATGCTCTTCATGAATTTGTCTTGCACAAAGTTACATTTTATTTGCAGTTTCAAGTACACAGCAGACTCTTAATTCTGTGACTCTTCGTCTGGACAATTTAAGTATGAAGATCTTCTTCATCTTTTTATGTCTCCTCTTGTCTTATAAACTTTAACCTTGTTCTTTGAACAGAGGATTTCTGACACTGAATGTGGAGATTTTTAAGATGATGCAGTGACTTAAGAAGGAATTAATGATTTTCTGTATTGGTCTCTCCAGTGATCCAGGAAGTCAGTAACTTCAGAAATAAATTCTTATCAAAGGAGTGTCTGTATTTCTGTGTTTTATGCCAATATTTGAGATTTCATGTCTTCCAGGGTGATTTAAAAATGATATTTTGTACTTTGCGTTTTCCTTCCCCTCCACCCCCCCCCAAGACAGAAAATTAGGAAAAGGGACAGCACTGAATAGGAGTGATAATAAATCAGTTTTACCAACTGTTTCAGATGACTTTTCCCCACTGCCCAGGAGCATACCAGTGGCTTGTTGAATGATCTGGTGGTTCATTATAAAAACTGGCTGGTTTTTAAGTGATGAAAGGTCATTGGATGCTTCAGCCTAGGATGTTTGGACTTTACATAGGGTACTGTTGTGCATATGCAGTTGTAGATGTTTTTGGCTTTGCCACCTTGCACTGTCTGAAAAAATTATTTTGAACTTGGTTTTACTTCCAGGGAAAAAGGTCCTTCCTCTTAGATGCTGCTTGTTCTTCTCTAGCGTCACACTGATTTTTGCAGTAGTGTTTCATGCTCTATGAAAGGTTTCTCTAGGGGAGCCATACTTACATAGCAGGGATTTTGATGGAAATGCAGTTAACCACCCATTTTTCCACTCTCCCAAGGAAAAAGAAAGATTCCTGTGATTATCTTCTTTGGGAATAAATTTTATCATAGCTGGAAATATTTAAAGGAAAAGTCGAGGAAGAGGGAAGGAGTTCTTCAAAGTTTTATTTTTAGAAAATTGTAAATATTTATTTGTGCTTGCTTACAATTGATAGAGATCAGGGCATTTTGTCCAAGATAGAATGTTCCATGCCAAAACCATGTTTCTAATATGAATGGGCAGTCCTTGCCTTGAAAAGCCATTTGACTCCATTCATTGCCTAAGTAATGTGTCTGTAGCACCCTTTTTTAGGCATTGGTAATGCCTCTGGGTAAAGTTAGTGTTATTGTAGATGAATGCTGCAATCTATCGTATGAAAAGAATCTATTCTTAAAATAGAAGAAGAGCTTAAAATAAAGCAGATGTTTACAGGGGTATCCTTTTTTTTGACATCACATACACATTTTGTAGTGGATGCTCTGGGGCACTTCAGCATCAGCTTGTTGTTGAACTTCAAAGTTTGATGCTCAGCTTCAAAGGTTTTTATTTTCAATCTGTTTTATGAATGATAGAGAAGTGAGAAACAGATTAGAAAGTGGTAATTAACAGGGGTAATGTATTGGGGTGATGTGTGTGGTTTTTTAGTGTTCATTAACAAAATCTGGTTGCATGCTTGCAAGAGCCACACAGGCCGTATCAGCCTGACACAGTTTAGTTTGGTTTAGTCCATTATTTCAGATGTTAGGGTACAACTTGCTGAAAAACAGATGATGTGGATGGGCTTTTTATGTACAAAACGTGTAGAGGGGTGTGGGAGAGTCTGGGCTGCTGAAAGGTTTTAGAGTTGACATAAAGGAGAGCCTTTTGATTTTTTTTAATGGTCTTCAACTTAATGCAGCTTTTCTTAAATCCAGGTCTTGCAAACACTTCAATATTGGTCTGCTTTAAGAAGTCAGTTTGATGGAAATTGATACCGAAGTGTATATAAAGAGACAATGTTAGTAAGATAAGATAACTACAGTGTGGGAGAAAAGAAGACTTTTGTCTTAGGAAGAATAAATGTTGATTTATAGTAAAGTCTGGACCCCAGCTGAATGGGCCCCCTGCGGACAGCAGACATGCTCCTCTGGAAAGCCAGGAGCTTTTATTTCTCTCTGCTGCCGCCGTCTGACAAAAGCAGAGGGAGAGCATTGGTGGTAGGTGACACAGAGGCCTATCTGCGTTCCTGGGCAGAGGGGAGCTTCAGCTCCCCCCCGCTTGTCTTCTGCTGGTTTGTTAAAACACTGAACTGTTCGTTAAACACAGGGCAGCTAATGCATGAGAATTAGCCCAGGATAGAAACACACGGAGAACAGTATTTTTAGAGGAAGGAAAACTCACCACAACCTCAAGCTGCTTGTGTTGGAATATCTTTTATGTAATACATGTAGAACAAGCCCTCAGGAAACATGAGGGTTCAAAATACAATGATTTCTAAATTGCTTATTTGATTTCTCTTCTAGATTGTATATTTTGTTTGGTGTCTCCCCTCCTCCCTGGTCATAATTCTAAACAGATTTTCAATATGATGTTACAGAGCATGTTGTCTAATTCATTAATTGCTAGAAACTGGTATATTATGCTGTTAACAAAATATTTTAATGTGTTACCAATTTATAAAGTAATCAAATACTTAAAAAAACTTACTCAAGGTCTGCACGTGTAATATATTAACTTCTACTGCTCTGTGCTTGATTTATGTTGTGCTGTTATTTGGTTATAAAAGATTTCTTTACTCAGTTCAGTATTGGGAAGGACAGCTAAAACCTCTGTGGTTCTGTACATTTAGGAAGGAATTAAGATATGTTATGGTGGAAAAGAAACATGGTTGAGAAGTGCACATAGCTTCTGTTGTGCAGCTCATTGCTTCTGAAAACAGCTTCAATAGCCTACGCTATTAGAGATACTATATCATAGATATAGTATAGGTAGTATAGTATAGATATAGAGATATATATGTAGTATAGTATAGATATTATAGATTATGAAGATCATGTGTTCTCTTGCTGTCTCTCACTGATGTGCCCAGAATACACACTATTAATTTTCCCTCACTCTTCAGATTATCACTCCATGTCGGAAGCTCATCCTTTGTGCTGATAACAGAAAAGAGATGGAAGATTGGATTGCAGCACTGAAGACTGTACAAAACCGAGAACATTTTGAGGTAATAGGAAAATGTGTTTCTTTGCACTCTGTGCCTCATCTCCTGCCAAGTAACAGCTTGTTTTGAGATTGGAGTCACCTTCCATGAAAGTTAACAGAAGTCATTTACATTGCCTATAATGGGTATGGTGTTAGGCCTTCTGCAAAAACTATCCCAAATACACTGAAGTGATTCTCCAAAGAATGCCTGCGGCTTTGTATTTCTCTTTGTATTACCCTCCCTTGGTAACTTTAAGAGCCCTTTTCAGAATATGGGTAGGTTAATGAAACACAATTCTCCTCCCATTGTCTTTTCACTTTTCATTTATCCTCCCTGTCCTAATTCATGTCTTGCCTGCTTGGTATTCTGCCTACTTAGAACATCTGTTTGCTCTCTGGGGCTGTAGTTAGACCAGCGCTGTCACCAAAAGAAGCTTTCTTGTGTTCTCCCCACTCTGGTGCTTGTCTCCTCCCTTACGCTGGCACAGGCATTTTTCTGCTACACAGTAAACAACATTGGGGAACTGATCTTGCTGAAAACTTAATCCAGCAAAAAAATGGGGAAGGGAAGGATCAACTCTCCAGCAGATAAATTCTCCAGTTCATTTCCCTCCACACATTTGTAGCGAGATAAGGAGGGGAGGTAGGTTTTTTTTACAGGAGCAGGAGTGAAGGTGTGTTGTCTTCTTTAAGTAGTCTCTTCTGACTTAAAGACCTTCTTGAGTAACAGCTAATGTGTATAAACTGCATGTGGACTACTCTTCCCTAGTAAAAGTGTTCTGTTTCTGCCGTCCCTTACTCTTCTGTGCAAGTCTTTGTTTTACAAAGGAAAAAAAGTCTTGCTCTGCTTTCAACTTTGCTGTAATACATTTATTTTGTCAGTCTACCCAGTACAGCATGGACCACTTCTCAGGGATGCATAACTGGTACGCCTGCTCACATGCTCGGCCAACGTACTGCAATGTGTGTCGGGAGGCATTGTCTGGAGTCACCTCACATGGGCTCTCATGTGAAGGTAAGAGTGCTCTCTTGCCTCCTGTTTTGGGATCACCGTTTTTGCGGCTCACTGCCATGTTCCAGAGATAATTTAAGAGGAATATTGTTAGCAGGTTGCAAAAAAGATGTGGAAGAGTGCTGCATAATGAACTGGAGACAGCTCCAGTCAGCGTATGAGAGTGGAGGTCTTTCCTGGACCTGATGCTGAATCCCTTTGCTCTTGAATCCCTTTGGCTTCACAGAGAATTTTTCTGCAGAAGTCTAGATCAGGATCTTGGCATTTTGTAAAAGGATAATAGATGTGATGTTGCTTTCACACTGGTTTTAGTGTTGGACCTGATAGTAATATAGCTGATTCCCCCCCCATACCCAAACATTGCCATCCCTTATTAAAATCATGCTTCTGAAGTGAACAGGTATATACTTCCGAGGTATCAGATGGAATATTCATAATAATACTCCATAAGAATAATCATATTTGTAAGAACCTCCTTGTTACATGCTTCAATGGCAGGAGGCTACTTTTTTTCAGGTCTGGCATAGCAGACATGTCTGGCTGCACACAGCTCGTACTTCTAGTGTGAAGGAGGTTACACCCACACTGTGTAAAAGGATGCAGGGGTGTATGACTATGCAAATCATGTCAAATTTAACAAGGTGATAACTAAGCTTTGTACAAGCAGCTGGCTAAAGTGACAAGGCAAGAATTAATAGCTAGCTCATCTTACTCGGGATGCTTAGAGCAGATAGTTTTGGCAGTGCTAACAGGGGTAGTGTGTGCCCGTGCTTTCTGCTGGAGCCACATATGGTCACTTGGGAAAGCTTTTGCACACACTGCCACATTACACATGCTGAGGCAGGGTTGATCTGTTCTTCTCTTCCTCTCTAGTGTGCAAGTTCAAAGCCCACAAGCGGTGTGCTGTGCGGGCAACCAATAATTGCAAGTGGACAACTCTGGCTTCTATTGGGAAGGATATCATTGAGGATGAAGATGGGGTGCGTGTTACTCTTGACTCTTCCAGCCTTACCTTGCTGTGGAAGCACAGTGTCTACAGCTTTCTTCATTGTACAAACAGCAGGTTCTGCCTCTCTGTGTTTGCAGTGTGGGAAAGGCCTTTACTGTCAGAGCATGAGATTCTGTGTGAAAAGTCTGACCAGCGTAGTGAGGACTTCCTAATAGGAAGAGCCTCCTGCTATGGACTGGGGGAATTGAGGTTAAATAATTGGAGGCATGGGGCAACCACATCTGAGTTCTGGCAAAAGAAAGATTAATGAGTGGTTGGAACAGTGCCTTAGCATATGGGATGTCTGATGCCAGTTGGTGTACCCTGGGTTGCCTGGGGCAAGTCACCTGGTCTCTTTACACTTGTGCTGATATGAAATGCCAAAAGAGGTCCTCAGGTGTTTTCTAGAAATTGCCCTTGCTGTCCTTAAACAATGCATGTAAAGGCTTGCCTCTGTGTGTGTCTCAGTGCCACAGGGCATCCTGCACCCTTGAGTTGTGCTCTGAAATGTCTGTCTTATTTCTCTCCTTCTATACCATTTGCAGATCTCAATGCCACATCAGTGGTTGGAAGGAAACCTGCCTGTGAGTGCCAAATGCACTGTGTGTGATAAAACCTGCGGCAGTGTCTTACGATTGCAAGACTGGCGCTGCCTGTGGTGCAAAGCCATGGTGAGTTGGATAAACATGATCATTTCAGTAAAAGGAGAGTCTTCGATCCGGTCTGTGCTGTATTCTTTTAATGACATTTACTTAAAAAGGAATCTCTAACTGTTCTGTCAGTATTTGCCATGAAGGACTTTACTGTTCTTTCTCCAGATGACAAAACAGCCTGCAAGAGAGAGAGAAATTTAAATTTGTGCTGAAAAGTATCACTGTGATGCATAAAAATTATCTGCAAGCTCATTTTCTTTTGGTAGTGAGCTTTCCTAGAGATTCTAATTACAGTAGTTATGAATCAATGCCTCAGGCATGGGAGATGTTGGAGCCGTTGTCATTTCTACAAGTTGAAAAGGTACAAGAAAACAGGGCAATAAAGAATACCAAGCTATTTTAATAATAGCAGTTTCCCTTCCCATTGCAATAGGTTTCTCCTGCCTAACCACTGCAGTGATGCAGATCTTGCTGTGTTTTCGGTTGTCTGTAATACTAGTAAGAGAAGTACCACAAATACCTTTTTATAATGTGGGGGCTCAAACCCCAAGCAAACCCTCTGTCTTGCAGTCTGTATGTACCAGAAATGACTGAAGTGCCCTACTCTGTATTCCCTTTTATTTTTTGGGTGGCTTGACTAATGTCTTCTTCTCTTATATCCTTCATGTGTTCCTGCTTTATTTTTTGCTCTCTGGTTTTCTTGAATCCCTAGGTTTTGCGCTATTTCTTACCTCTCAACTCAGGCTAGGGTTTTGAAGGCAAAATACCTGAAAGCTCTTAAAGCCACAGAATCTGTTACCTGATCCTCTCAGCACTCAAAAGTGCTAGTCTCTAAGCTGGAATGGCAGAAAAAGTACGTACTAATCAGAGGAGAATTAGTAGAAGACTGTGATGAGATAATTCTTAAAGTAACTTTATTGTTTGACATTTCCTTAGCTTCACTCCCTCTTCCTTTCTTACCCTTTCTTTACTTTGTTTTTCTTACTCTTGTGTGGCTTTATGAGTTACACCACAGCACCCCAAAGGGTCTGAATGATTATTTTTTCGTTTAATTTTTATTGTGCTGTTTTCAGGTACACACAGCATGTAAAGAGTTGTTGCCAAACAAGTGCCCTCTTGGGCTGTGCAAAGTATCTGTCATTCCTCCTACTGCTCTTAACAGCATTGATTCAGATGGTAAGTATCACTAGTACGGAGTGCCTACTTTCTCTTCCTGTCAGTCACAGTCCCTTCAGCTAAAGATATTAACGGCAGATTCTCTCAAATGGAAATTGGTTTTGGTGTTGCTGAAATTCCAAGCTGGAAGACATCGCTGAAGTATGGCAGTGAACTGTTTGCTTTTGTTTTGTATTCGTTTTATTACCCTGTAACATCAGTATTTGCTGAGCTGCAGCTGTTAAAATTTATTGAGAACAACTATATTGCAGAAGTAGCTCAAGAAGGTTGGGAAAGCCAAAAATTTTGGCATATTGCTGGGAGATAAGCATGACATTTGGCAGCATGAGGTTTGTGCTGGATTCAGGGCTCTGCACATTTGGCGTTTACCCAGTGAGTGCCATAAGCACTTCATAGCTGTGCTGGGGTGTGGGGTCTTGTTTTCTCTCTCCATCTCCATGGACAGGTTCACGTCTCTTGGTTTTTCCTCATTCTCCCTTCCCTTTCTTCCGCGACAGGTTTCTGGAAAGCTACTTGTCCCCCTTCTTGCACAAGCCCTTTGTTAGTCTTTGTCAACTCAAAAAGTGGAGACAACCAAGGTGTAAAATTTCTACGAAGATTCAAACAACTACTAAATCCAGCCCAGGTCTTTGACCTCATGAATGGAGGACCTCACCTTGGGTAAGCAGATACTGTATGGAAGCACATGTTCCTTGTAAACACCAGAAAAGTACAAGTGATTTATTTGATTGTAAACTCATCCACAAATGTAACAACAGAAACCTATTCCTCCAAGAAGACTGCAGTTTGGAGGGGTTTTCTGCTCTCTTTGTTTAGTGTTATTGATCAACTAAAGCCAAAAATGTTGTTGGAAAAGATTATTTCCATCCATCAGTAACAGCAGGACAGCTTGAGGAGCTTTGGGGGAATTCCAGAAAAATTGGAAGAAGACCAAGCATGGAAAGCTTGAATTCAGAAGAAAAGTTGTCAGCAGACAGGCTTGTAAAGGCATCCTGGTGCACTGTTAACAAGAGACTTCACTTAAATCGGGTGAACAGATGTTATAGGTAGCAAATGAATATTGTCAAAATTAGATTTATCCAGAGAGAACTTACCTGGGAAGTATGTGGTGGTGATACTGGAAAGATACCACTTATGAGTGCTTTTGGTGTAAAGTTGGTTCTGCCCTGGGATGTAGATGACATTTCAGTCTTATTTGCCAGACTACACTAGGGTACCTATGGATTTAAAAAAAAAAAAAAGTGAGCACCATGGAATAAATTCCTTGAAGGTACTTCTGCAACTCTGCTTTAAAAAAGACAAAAAAGTTTGGGCTCTAGTTTTCCTCCTTCCAAATATTTCTCTGTTGCTTCATATTTGAGTAGATTTTATCATGAATGGGTGCTTCTTATAATAAGGGCCAACACAAGGTGAATTTCCTTCAGATTTTTCTTACTGTGGCTCAGAGTCTATGGCTGAGACTTGTAGATGCAGGGTGTTAAATCTAGGAGTGTCCATGCCTGGATGAGTGACCATTAGGTTCTTCTCAGAACTGTTGCGGTTTCTTGCCATAGTGTGTTGCAAAACACTGACCTTTAAAACTGCAGCATGCTGTCCAGGGGATGTATTTGGCTGATAAATAATTTACAGAAAACTTCTAAAATTAAGTATTCTTCTTCTTCTCCCCAGTTGGACTGACTGTAGAGAGGAATTTTGCTTTTAAGCAGAAGAGAAGGCAAGGGGGGGAATCAATAATTTTCTCAAGCTGTGCTGCACACTTCTGAAGTAGCTGCTGTTGGATGCTTTCTTAAAGAGGAAGTGATGGTACAGGGTAACGGCTGCTTCTTGATGATTTAAATAATCTCAGCTGTTGCCAGTCAAACTGTACCAGAAGATGTCATCGATAGCTGGTTTTTATGTGTCAACAATGCCTGAAGAAATAAGGATTTCCATGCACTATAGCACATCCTGTTTAGGTGGTAATAAATATACAAAACCAAAATAAAAGCAGGCAGTAGTTCTGGAACATATTCAGTGAGCAGCACGGTTTCAAACAGCTTAAGAAGAGGTTGTTTTTAATATTCTGGGAAGGGTGAATGGAGAAATTCACACTTGTCTTGCTGGTGAGTTGTTTGCCTGCCTGCGGGACAGACAAGGCACCAGAGCATTGACTTATGTTGCTTTCCCAGACTAAGGAGTAAAGCTTGTGAGACTTCACAGCCTCTTTACAGCTGTCTGCTTATTGAATGACTGCATAAAATTCCCACTCTTCAAACTTTGCTTTAACTTGTGTGGCCTTAAGTACAAAGGCAGTGACACCAGAGCACTCCAAACAGTGACAAATAACTAGTGTTAGCCTGAACACAGCAAATCTGCAAAAAAGAATTGATTCAATGGATAATCAGCTATCACATGCTTGTTTCCTCTTCTGTTGAGACAAGCGCTTTGCTTTAGTAGAAGAGTATGTCTGGGACATATTTCTGTCATGAATAGCCATTGTAAATTCTTCACTGTATTTATAATTCCTTACTTATAATCATTTTAATCTGTAATCTGACAGTGGCCCATATTCATTGCGAAATCAGAGCCTCCTTTAAGCAAGTCTGCTGTATTTATTACCTAGATTGGAATTGTTTATCATTTCTTTCTGTAACAGCGATTGTTCTTCCCTCTTGCTTTTTTCTTTCCCTTCTCCGTAGTTTGCGCTTATTCCAGAAATTTGACACTTTCCGGATTCTAGTTTGCGGTGGGGACGGAAGTGTTGGCTGGGTTCTCTCCGAAATTGATAGCCTCAATCTTCACAAGCAGGTACCTGCCCAAAGAGCTTGGTTGGATGAAGGATTGAAGTAATTACAACAGCATGGGTTGAAGAGAACTTTCTTTGATCGTACAGATGTAGTTTGCCCCAGGACTGAAGCTGCTGAAAGCTCACCACAGCAGTGCTCTTGCAGTAGTCTTCTGCAAGAAGCAGTGCTGGATTAATTCATTATTCCTATCTCCAGTGCTCCTCCACAACTCCCTCTTAACATGATCCAACTTTTGGAGTAGCTCTGAGGTTTTCCTGCTCCATTGCCAGCAGATACTTACACTTGGAAAGGGCTTGGAAAGTTAGTAAACTGGGAGTTCCACAAGGTGCTCCTCATCTGTTCCCTTTAATTTTCTGATGTTGTTTCTGAGTCTTGGGGTAGGCAGAAACTTCATTAGAGTAGAGGTGTCATACAATGTTTAGTTAGTTTCCATTTTGTCTTGGAGACGTTTGTGCTAATTTCCCAGAAGAAGCAATAGCACCACCTGATGGTTAACTAAGTACATCTGTAGAAGGGGTTACTTTTAGCAAGGTGCTCCTTGAGATGGTAGCTGTAACACACTTCTCTCTCAACTAACAACTTAAGTAGAGGAAATTTTTCCTTACTTGGCTGTTCTTCTGGCTGTTTTCCCCATCCAGTTAACTTTCTCCTCTCCCTGGGACTAGCTGTTTCTCAATGACTGGCCTGTGTAAAGAACCGGTCATGTTACTTGTGGCTCTTTGTGGCTTGCACTTTCCCATTTGAATATCAGTTTTGCTTTCCTTTTCTCTAATGCAGTGCCAGCTGGGAGTGCTGCCCTTGGGAACAGGGAATGACCTTGCCCGTGTGTTAGGCTGGGGGTCTGCTTGTGATGATGATACCCAGCTCCCACAGATCCTGGAGAAGCTGGAGAGGGCAAGTACGAAAATGCTGGACAGGTGGGTAACCATTACTAGTGTCCCCAAGAGTTGTGTGAAAATATCCTTCCAGGAGAACTTGGCAGTTCTTGATTCTGCCCAACTGCTGGACTTCTTACTAATGCCAGTTAACGTTTCTTCTTCTCCATTCCCCTCTAGCAACAAGAGGTAGTCTGGTTTTCTGTCATTGCTGCAGAATAGTAATGAGTGAAGTTATCTGATGTCCAGTGTTCTCTCTTGTGTTCCAGAGGTCTCATCAATTGAATCTGTTAGCCTTACAGTCATGGTTTATTTTTCCTGAGCTATTTTTCCCTTGATAAACTTGAACCCATTTATCTTGAGTTTGGCCTAGAAAGGAAAGCTGAATGCAGTAATTGACATATTTACTCCTAGTATTGATATTGCCTATGTGTGTGTGTACATTTAAAAATGCTTCATTAGAGTTACATCTTGGCGTCTATTATGTTGAATCAAGTAATGCCCATAGAATTTCTGTGAGAAAAGGAGGCAGTACAGAAAAATTCCTTGTGCTGTCGGATACTTGTTCGTTGTGTTATCCTTCCCTCTTCCCCCAGTTCAGCCCCTCTGCAGTTCCACTGCATCTCTGTGGCTTCCTTACATCACTCATGCCCCAGCCAAAGTGCAGTTTGTTCTGCTTTGAGGTTCTAACCTGTTGCGTCCTTTGAATAAAGGAGGAAATCATATGCCTTGTAGTGACAAGTGTGATGCCTCCTTTTCAACAGGTGGAGCATCATGGTGTATGAAACCAAACTCCCTCGCCAGGCCTCCACTTCTACAGTCACTGAAGATTTCAGTGAGGATTCTGAGGTATGTCATGAGATGCAGAGGGCAGTGGACTACGAGCAACAGCCTCAGAACAGACAAGATAGGAGGCAGTGTTGAGCTCAAATGGAGCAGGCCTGAGCCATGACTTGGGTGTAGCTGGAGCTACAAAGATCTGGGGGCTTTAAGTCAATGAAGTATTATGGAGAAGGATGGAGGCTGGGTCACCAGGGTCAACAGCCATAATGAGGGATGAGCAGAAGATTCTTTGGAACAGGACAGAGAGGAGACAATTGGCTTTTATTTGCTGTCATGACATGAAGTTGTTGAAATTGTGGAAAGCTGCCTAGCAGTCATAAAAGAAATAGTTTTAGATCAACAGTTGATCAGAGACTTTAAGAACTGCGCTGCTGATGATTTCTAGATTCAGAATTAGTTTCTTCATCAAATTCAGGGCTGAGACCTGGCCAACAGAACTTCTCCAGGGCAAAAGAACCTGTAGAAGGACAGCTACTCTCTGGGGAGCCAGGGTTACACAGCATATGTTGTAACGCTGGGTGGCTTGTTTCTTCCTGTCACCAGGTGCAGAAGATTCTCTTCTATGAAGACTCTGTGGCTGCTCATTTGTCCAAAATTTTGACGTCTGACCAACACTCAGTGGTCATCTCCTCAGCCAAGTGAGTACTTAGAGGACAACTGCTCTAAGTGAAAGTCGCACTGTGAAAATCCTCACACAATTCTTGCATTACTTGCTTTTCACTATCTTCTTGTCTAGGGTGCTTTGTGAGACAGTGAAGGATTTTGTAGCCTATGAGAAGGCAACAGAGAGCTCAGAGGAATCAGAGGTCATGGCCAGGAAGGTAAACTTGGAAAAATTGCTTGGTTTTCTACTTCTGAAGTGGAAAACTGCTGTTTTCAGAGAACTAGGACAGCAGCAGTTCAGAAAGCGCTAAAAGAATGAGCTACACAGTCTGCTGTTAGTTATACTGAAATGATGTTGTTCTCCTTGTAGTGCTCTGTCCTGAAAGAGAAGCTGGACTCGTTGCTGAAGACACTGAATGATGAATCTCAAGCATCTTCATCTCTGCCAAACCCTCCTCCCACCATTGCAGAGGAAACCGAAGATGGTGATGCATCAGGCAGTGCTTGTGATTCTTCTAGCGACCGGTCAGTGGGTTCATCATGCACTGCACGGCCCCAGATATTTCGTCCCCGAGAACAGCTCATGTTGAGAGCCAACAGCCTGAAAAAAGCCATTCGTCAGATAATAGAGCATGCAGAAAAAGGTAACCTGTTAGAAGTCCTGCCTGTGACTTGTGACAGGCTCTTGAGAAATATACGTTTCCTTTATTCCAGAGAGGAGTAGCATTCTTTATTAAAAACAGGTTTCCTGAGCTAGAGAAGCTATTCAGAAAGACTGGCTATTTGATTTCAGTATCATCTCTGCCAAGCCAACCTGTATGAATCATTGCTTGGTAAATGAGCCTGAAGTTCAAGACACCTTGTCTCCCATAGGGCTGGTTTAGGAAGTTACTGCCCTCCTACATTCTGTTCATTTGCCTTTCCTGACTGTCCCCACCCATACCACGACTATGTCAGTGCAACTGTTTGTGTGGCCTTGCCATAAAACAGATCTGAAAATACTTAGCAAGAAAGTATTTTAAGTATTTTAACTTGGATTGTTTCAGAAATCTCTTTATATTAGACCCCAGCAAAACAATGCAGTGGTACAACTGCAAGAAAGAGCAGGACCTTCTTAAACTAGCGTTGTTACTGGGAAAATGATTTAATACTGCACCTTGAGGCAAATCAGTTCTGTTCCAGTGTTAACTTCCGAGGCAGGTGACCCTTTTCTCCACATCTTGACCCTTATCTCTCTCCAGCCCACTCACACACATAACTCAGAGTTTCATTTCCTTTGAAAGGCGTCAGTCTCCCAGATGTTAGTCATAAACTCAGTGGTTTAACTTAGACCAAAGGAAGTACTTAACAGCTTATACTGGAGATAAAAGCAATGAAGTTGCAGATGTGACGTACATGCACACCTAAATGTGCACTATAGACTACTGTGTAGTAAGCTACAGAGCATTGCAATATTGCTTGGATTTCTAATATTGCAGTATATGCTGAAGGTGAAGTTATATGAGATGATGGAAGTAGAGCAAACAGCCTGATTCTGGTGAAGTAGAGGTCTTGACCTTACTGCTGTCCCAGTTTGCTGCCGCTTACCTTATGCCAATTTGATGTTCTTTTGGAGCCCAACCAATTTACTTAATCCAGCGAGAACAGTTTCTGTTTCTGCTGGGCTAGTGGGTTGGATTACCTTGTGAATAGTTTTGATGAACTCCAGAGTCAGCACAAGAGAGGGGAAGAGACTGAAGGAAGGGCTTGTCTCCCTGCAGAGACAGTGAGCTAGTAGATCAGCTCAGGGCTGTGCCCGGTGAGGGGTTGCTGGAGAGGAAGGCCTGCTGACTGCATGCAAAGGAAGTTTGATTTCTTTAGGCAACATACTGGCATTTAATTCTTACCAGCTCTTGGGCAAACTCCAGTTACATTTCAAATGTATTTGTTCAGCTTCCCCAAACTGTTTTTCTTCTTCCAAGAAGAATCTTGGAAGTATGTAATGTGATTCTTTCCTTTGTATTGTTTTCTACCAACTGCTATTTTCTTCCTTCTGACTGTATGTGTCTAATTGCCCTTTTTAAGTGGCTTATCCTATTGCCCCAGTACAGATTAAGCAAGCAGAAAAATTGTTAATTGTTTAGTATCTGGCAGCTTCTAAATGCAGATGGAAGCCCGTCACCTGTAATACAGTTTTCATCTTGGGAAGCCTGAGTACCTATGGCATTAAAGGTGGACACTTCTATTTAGAGCCTCACTGCTAAGAGCTCAGCAAATAAAACAGAAGGCTAAGCCAGCCCAGCTTTTGGAACTGATGAAGCTCTCCAGAGCAGAGCTTAATTGAGACAAATGATATAGGAAAGCTTTTTGTTATTCCTGTTCTTTCCTTTAAGGAAGGCCTTTAGAGTCTCATCCTATTGTTATTTACATCACTGGAAGGTGTTCCTTGCTAGAAGAAGTGCTGAGGCACTCACTGACTTTCTCTCTTCTTACAGCTGTAGATGAGCAGAATGCCCAGACCCAGGAGCAAGAGGGCTTCCTCCTTAGCCTCTCAGCCTCTGAAGAGGGCAAGGAGCTGAGGAATGAGGATAAGATCTCTCTGCAGTCATCACACAGCAGCAGCTATGGAGTGTCCAAAGGGAGGAGCCAGCGGAAAGGTACTGCTCTGGTGCTGCCACCATGCAGATTTTGCCTGTGAATTACAATTCTGTTAGGTGTAAAAAGTGAGGGAGGTGTTAGGTGTATTACCTTCCAAGTTCTGTTTTTCTCTAATTTTTGAATGACTGCTCTTCAGGCCTTGCACACTTCTAGGCTCCTGGGCATCATACTTCCCACTTTTCACTACATGTCTGATGGCTGGTCTGTGAATTCAGCATATGGAGCCTAGGATTCAGAAATTTTCTTGCACCTCAGCCAGCAATCTGGGTTTTCTTGGCTTTCAGTGCTTGGACAAGATTGGTCTTGAGCATTTTTCATGTCATCTACTGGGTGACATTCTCTGTAAGCCTCTGCCATCCTTTGCAGATGACAAGAGAACAGAAGCCAGTTTGCTTTAATAACTGTATTATGTGAGTAATTTGTTAGAGCTCCCTGCAGATGTGTTTGGAACTTACCTGAGTATTGACTGGGAGCTAAATACCCTGTCTGTTGTGCTGCTGGCACCAGCTTTTTCTCATCGCCATTTCTAATATTTGCATGTGGCATTTTGGTACCTCCTGTCTGTGAGGTTTTCTGGCTGCACATGTGCCACATCTCTGTCTCTTAATGACTCATTCTGTCAGCTTTTTGTTCTGTGGTAGCTAGAGTGTTTTGCTGTTGAGTGATTCCTAACCCAGCCTTGCTGCTTGGGCTATGTTGCTATGTTCTGGTCTGAATCAGTGTTACGTTTGTCAATAGCCATGTTTGTGTTGTTTTACAGCGTCCAAGTCTCCTTGTGAAAGACTAATAAACAAAGGAAGTTTGTCACTGGGCAGCTCTGCATCTCTTCCTCCCCAGACAGGAAACCGAGATAACTTGCCAATGCTCAACACAAAAATTCTCTACCCAAGTAAGTGTAACACCCACCACTTCCCACTGAGGCAGCCAACTGGAGTACGGGTGACAGCAGCACAGGCTGCAGTCTCTACATGAAAGCGTGAAATTGTCCTGCCTGATGTCCTTTTGTGCAGGGTCATATTGGAGAGAAGTCCATTTCTGGCTAACTTTCCACTAGGGCTGAAAAGTGGAGACTTGGAGGGAGCTGTAGTTGTTTCCAGTTTGTAGCTGAGACCTAGACACAGACGTGCAGTGGCAGAATTTAGATGCCAATTACGAGGAGGTACTGAGCTCAAAGTAACCTTGAGAACACTGGTACAATGCTGCTGAGAGAGGTATCTGAAGAGTGACGGCCATGGACCGAGAGGAGCAGTCCCTTCATGTGAAGGCTGAAGTCACTGGAGGTGCACAGACCCAGCAGAATTCAAACCTCCCACATCTTGTTTAGCAGCTTCTCCCTATCAGTGGTACTGTCCTTCTGCTTCTTCCCCCAGATTACTTGTTCAAATTGTTTCTTCTGGAGGAAGTTTATTTCCTTTCTCTCTAACAAATCTACTGTTTGTGGGTCACCACCTAATAATTTAAGAAACAGGAGGCAGTAATTCTTGAGCAACTTGGAGAATAACTTGGGTCTTACTCTTATCTCTCCTCATTGAAGCAAGGATGTTGCATGTCTCACCCTGGAGCAAAAAAGCTGATGCAGTCAATACACTCCTGTTTCCCATTTCCAGGTGTCTTGTTACAGCTTTGCTGCTGGCCTTAGTTGTTATCATGTCAATCAAAACCCCTGCAGGTGGCCCCAGAAACCCTTCTCCTTATTGAGAGAGCTAAGCCTTCTGGAGTGGAAGAAAGCACTATTGCTATTTGCTTTCCACAGTGAATGACAACGGTTAATATGTTCTGCTCTGTTGTCTTGTCTCTGAGATTGAAGTTACCTGTTTTCTGCTTCTTATTAATCACATTCTTCCCTGTGGTCAATTTTCCTCCAGGTATCCGTGCTGGTATGTCTGGTTCTTTGCCTGGGAGCTCTGTCATCAGCCGGTTGTTGATCCATGCTGATCCCTTTAACTCTGAGCCTGAAAACCTGTGAGTATGGC